ATTATTATAAAGTCATTGAGAATAATCTACTAAATTATAATAACATATTATTGATGCATTTAAAAAATATATTTTGTTATATTATCGAAGATATGGTTATGATTTGTAAGATAAACCCGGCCGAAGGCCGGGCAAAAGGGCCTAAGGCCCGTTAAAGGGGGTCTGGGGGCGAAGCCCCCTAGCTTTTATATGTATGGACCCCCTCTAAGGAAAATTCCTAGCTACGCCACTGCCTGCTGAATATTTATTTTTTAAATAGTTTTCTTGTTAAATACTGTTTTTTTTATAAAAAAAAATATTTTTTATAGATATAGTATTATATATATTTTTAATTATAAATTTATCTTGTCTAATCTTTTTAATATTGAAGATTTTAAGCAATAAAGAATTGATTTTATTTATTAAATATTTTTTATACAAAATCTTGACCCTCGCCAAATTTTTAAACAGTACAGCATGGAACATAGCCATAATTGCTAAGGAGGTGGAAGATATATTATCGCATTTTTCCTTCATAATAAATTTTAATGTATAACGCTAAAATATTAATTTTAATATTTTTTTGAGAAAAGAGCTGCTTTTTATTCTTATAGTCATTGACCGCCATGGGCAATTCAAAATAGTTGCTTATAGCTTGCTAATGGGGAAACGTATTACTGCATTGCCACGATATCCTAAAAAACATAATGATGTAGACCAAAATTAAGGCCATTTAGGGGATAAGGACCTAGCTAATAGGCAGACCTTTGAAAGTTTCTCTAACTAATACAGATTTGCATATTTTATGTTATGCGCAGCTTTAAGCGAGAAATTACTAACACCAAGAAAAATATAAGAGGAGATGGTGTTATAGTAGTTCTGGATATATTACAAAGATTAGTTTATGCGTTAAAAAAACGACTTAATGTTGAACATTTGATGATAACCTGTTTGAATTTCTGATTTATTGATTCAGTATGATTATTTGTGGTGTTAAAAATAGGAGTATAGATGTACGAAATTCCGACCCATTCTTTTCTGATAGGGTACCAATTTGTTTCTTGAGATTTTGTACTAAATGGAAGATGGAAATTAATTAGGCTTGTATAGAGATTGTTATTCATTTTCTGAACGTGCATAAACTAATATTTGTAATATATCCAGAACTACTGTAACATCCTCTCCTGTTATATTCTCTCGGTGGTTCTCTTAAAGCTGCACATCAAATCTGTATGTTAGCGTTAGAAAAATTTTCATTAAGACCTGCTTATCGGTGAAGGTCATTATCCCATATTAGTGATCTGCATCAGGCCTATTTTTTCAAGCCCGGCCCAGCCCGAAATTTTTTTAAAAAAAATTTACCAGCCCACCCCGGCCCAATTTTATCTAAATATAGAAATTAATTTTTATAATTATTAAAAATAAAAGACATGTGTTATATGGCATCTAGTTCTATAAATAAAATGAAATTTATTTTACATAAAAAATTCAATATAAAATTGATAAATCTAAATATATTTTAAAAAAATTCCAAGGCCCGACCCCGGGCCGGGCCTACTTTTGCAGATCTCAATCCCATATAATGGCCTTAATTTGACCTACATCATTATGTTTTTTTAGAATATCGCAGCAATTTTTTACGCAGTAATATATTTCCCCTTTGACAAGCCACAGAGCAGCTATTTGGGATTGCACATGGCGGTCTATCAATAGTAGGATAAAAAGCGGCATTCCTAAGCCTTACATTATAATTTATTATGAAGGAAAATTGCAATGGCTATGCTTTAGTTCTGTATTTCATAAAAATTTGGCGGGGGGGGGGGATATTATCAAAAAATATGAAATTTATAAAATCCATTAAATTCTTAATTCTTTAAAATCTAAATTTTCAATTTCAATATTAAAAAAATTAGAATAAGGTAAATTTTATTTTATTAAAAAACAGTATTCAAAAAATGATTAATAAGGTTAAGTCCAGGGGCTTAATTACCCATGTATATAATATTGAAATATAAAACTTTTTTTTCCTCTATCATCTATGTGGCTAAGAAAAAAATATAAAATTTTTGAATATACAAAAGTTTAACTTTATAATAGAGATTTAAATTTAATACTTTTAAAAAAAATTTAAATTTTTGGTGGATGAGCTCAGCTTCTTTTTAAAATTTGGAAATAAGGCTGAAATTCAAAATAAATTTAGCGAGGGGCTTAGTCCCCCTCACAATACATTTCTGCTTTGCTTATAATAATTATAATTAAAGCTAGAAATTTAAATATTAGTCTGTTTCGGTTGTTATGATTTCATAAATAATAAAAAGCTTTTGATTCTATTTTAACTTCCTACATTTATATGTAAAACATTTATGGTAATGCATGGCCTGGCCCTTTTTTTAAAAAAAAAAAATTTTCAGCCCGGTCTGGATTTTTTGAAAATATATTATTCTTAATTTTTATAGTCAATAATGGCTATTTAAAATATTTGGTTTAAACCCTTCATTGCAAAGGTGAAAAAAGTCCCTCTAGTGAATAGGTTGGGTTGGTATCCTCAGACCTCAATTTAGAAACATAATATATTAAAATCAAACTAATTTGTAGCTTTCATATTTTAAAAATATTAAAAACTATAAGTTAATAATTTTAACTATTATTTTAATATATGACAGCTTTTGTAACGGGAGTCATTTTAAAATGTCACAATGTAATATAAAAAAATATTTAAATAAAATTGATGATGTAGAAATGTTTATCTAAGGTTGTAATATAATATAATATAACTTTTAATTAATAAAGATTATATATAGAAAGATGTGTTTATTTATGCTTTATATATCGATGCTAAAACTGATGACAAAAAGTTACACGGATGAACAGGTGGAGTCTATATGACCCCACGCTCAAAAAACTTTTATAACTTTTGAACTATTGAAAAAAATCAAAATTGATTTTGCACACATGCTTTATCTAGAAATGTTGAGCTACTAAAAGATTCAGACAAAAATATAAAAGAATTTTAAGTAATAAAGGTCTGCAGCCACCGAATAAAAATATTAGAACTGGGTTTTTAAAAAAAAAAAATTAGGCCCTGTCCGTGAATTAAAATAATATTTTTTAGGGCACCAGTCCGGTTATATTTAAAAAAATTAAAATGCGGCCAGGCCTGGATACCCCGGCCTGTAAGTCTGTTATATATTTAAATAACTGCTATATTTATTATTTTACCTAGATTATTGAGCTTATATGTTGCATCAATAAATAGAACTTCAGGATAGCATTTTAGTTTGTGGGTCATAATATAATCTTGGTAAAATATTCCCATAAGTTCATTTTTTCCCACTGCTATCTCAACTATTTCTCCCTTTTTTTGTTTTAATTGATGAATTACACTTAAAAGTAAATTATCTAACATATATAGGTTACTCCCTATATTGTGGATATTCTTTAAGGTTAAATTGAAAACAGTGCATTAGTTAGGATGTTATACTAGGTATGACAACAATGCGATGTTTTAAAAATGATGATGTACGATATCCATCACATTTTACATTGGAAGCGTGGAAACGACTATAAAATCTATATAAAAATATTCAGGCAGAGCCTTGGCTATGTCATACATGTCAATATTTTTGAAAAATGATTTATCAATAATATAAGATGTGCATTGGACTTTTCGCTACCAACAAATATTTTTAAAAAAATCTCGCAAAATATTGTGGTTTTATAACAAATGCCGTTGATTGTATTATTTGCATAAAAATAATTTAAAAATTAACAAAGTTCTATTCATAAATTTAATTTTGTCATAGGCCAATATATAAGGGAATATTTATATAAGAAATCTTAAATAAAAGATCTATATATTGTCATTCGACCAGAAATTATAAGTATTTATGTTTTTTATTTAATACTATATGCAAAAGAGAGGTATACATATATTTTTATAAAGACTACAATTTATAAATTGATTGCTGTTTGACATAATTAAATCTTAAGATATTCCAAATTATACCTAAAACGAATTCAATATTTGACTCGTATTTCATGAATACGAATACAAAAAATTTATTGTCTATATGGAATTATTCTTGTAATTTGAAATTGTTCGAACTTATTTTCTTACATTTTTAACTTGTTTCTTGTGTTACATTTTATTTTTAAATTTTTTTTCGATATTATTAAATCACTTTTAAATTTTGATAACAAATTTTTGAAAATTATTTAATTTTCGAATCGAATACTAAAATTAAGGGTAATCTGTCACAGGCTTATTTATATGAGAGAAAATTTAATATAAAAAATATCTCTAACGTTCGGCCGCTAAGGATAAGGATTTAATTAATTTTTGAATTTTATAAACTGTACCACTGTTTTAGCGTAATTAAAATTTACAATTACGTCAAAAAATTTAGGTTAAATTAAAAGAAATCAATATTTATTTGGAAATTATTTTAAAACTCATTTATTTTTAAAGAAATGTTATTCTTTGATTTTAAAAAAAATGGTTGAAGAAAACAACATTATTTATACTATAATTGGGGCATCTAATTTTTCTCATAGCACCATAATGGGTGTATTTAGCATTTATATTTGCACCATAAATGGAATATGTAGCCATGGCCAAAGCTATATTTTGAAATGGATATTATAGAAGAAACACTATACATTAATATAAATGTGATTTAGATTATAAATGATTAATATCTACATATTTATGCACATTGGCATTTTTATTTTATTATAAATATGCTATATTTTTTATTGTAGCAAAATAATAAAAAAAAAAATTCCATATAAAGAGTAGGAAAATAAAAATTTTGATCACTTTACTCTATTTTTTGATATTGCATTCAGTACAGGGATAAAGATTTACTTAATATAATTTTCTAGAAAAATTAGTGTTTCAATTAGTAAGACTTATCTCCATTTTCCCTAAATTGGATTTTAGTTTTAAAAAAAATAATATGATTATTTTCGAATATTATTATACTAATTTAAATTATATTCTTTCTTTTTTTTTGATAAAGCTCGTGAGTGGACTCTAAAATATGCTCTCAACAACTAAATTATCTTCGCTCGAATATTCGGACTTTTCATTTTTTTATGAATTAATATGTCAAAATATTTTCATTGAAGAAGAAATTATGTAATATCTCGATACTATTTCCAGACTACTTTGATTCGTTGTATTTGTGATACAAATTAATCATAATTTTTTTATATTCGACATTTAAGACTTATTCGTTCGCCAATAAATTATTTTCTCAAAAAGTTACTTTTGTAATCTGGGTATTGATTTTAAAAAAAATTAGTGCTACTTACATCCATACAGGTATGTTATTATTTACAATAATTGTTCAATGTTGTTAAGTAGCTATATTTATGATACAAAACTGAGGTTTTTTATATTTTTATGATAGCATATTTTAATTTATATTATCGCTGTTTTCAAAGAATAAAGGGAAGGGCCTTCCCCCTTTTTAAAATATTATATGTAAATGGCTCGTATTTAATCGCTTAAAATTAAAACTAAAATGCTTAGGGAAAAATTTTAAACGCTAATAAATACTTAACCTTAGGAAAAATACTGAATGCTTAGAAATATTTCGGCGTTACTAATATCTTATCCCCGAAAAATACGCAACCCTTATTATAGAAGCGCAAAATTAATATAGTCATGTTTAGCTTATTGAGATGATTCAGAAAATGTTATTTAAAATTTTTTAAAAACTGATAAATTAGTAAAATATCAAAATAAGACCACTTTTCTGTAAATAAAAAATGCATCATTTAATTATGCGCTTATTTTAAAAAAATGCAGAATCATGTTTAGCTCTTTAGATTCAAAAATTGGTAACATTAATTTTCTTTTTTTTTAAACCACAAATCTCTGAGCATCCCCTAAAACTAATTAAAAAATATACTGAATTATGTTTAACTCATCTAGAGGATTCGAAAGTGTTATTTTTTTAAAGAGAAATTCAGAAAATGTTAATATTAATTTTAAAAATATTTGTTACCTTAGTGGGATATCGAATTTTTTGAGAAATTGGCGAATCCCTACGCATCCCTTATTAAACAGGCTCTAATTTAAATAAATATTGAATAATATTTAGTTCTTTGAGAAAATTAAGAAAATATTGATATTTCTTTTTAAAATATTTGTTAAAATTAGGGATGTACCGATATTTTTATCGGATCGGGCCGATATTTCACCCATTTTAAATTATCGGTCAATATTATAAAACTTTCCGATCCGATATAAAATGGCGTCTTTAATAAAAATAAAATGTTATAAAATTTAAAAAGATATCTAAAATCATTTATTTTTATAAATAAATCGAAATCCATTTTTATGTATATTTTTTTAATAATAAACATTCTGCCATATTGTCATTTTTTTGCGCATTCTCTTTATAAAAGTGTGCGACTTCAGAAGTTTTTAGTGAAGCTGGCGATATTGACAGTTACCATTTCCTCAGGCTGACCTCTGATAAATTGGAAATTTTGGTATTTCTAAAAAGAAATTTTTTTAAAATATTTATTTCAAATTTCATAATATATTTGTTTATTACTTATTATGTATATGGATTAATGTATTACTTATTATATAAAAGTGATTTAACGATAAAATTATTTTATATACTTTTAGAATTGCAATTAAATTGATATAAACAACTGATCATTATAATATATATAAATAACATAAGCTATGGTATAGTTAAATTATAGATGTTATACTAATAAAAAGTATATTAAAATTTAAAACCATTGGTATCTTTACAGAATACAAAATTAGATATGATATGGGATCGGATCGGCCTCCAAAAAGTGATATCGGTACACCCCTAGTTAAAATAATGGATATTGAAAAAAGCATTTGTTTTATTTTGATAATTATATGCTATTTTTAAAAACTTGATAGAGAATCATTAGCTTTTCGAGGGGATTTAGAAATGTTAATAATTTTTACAAATCATACTACGTATCCATATCACTAATTATGTACTAATTTTTTTTGAAATGGAATCTCAAACATAGAACCCATCTAGGAAATTTTTGGGAAAAATATCTAGAGGATCTTATCTTATTTTTTGTTGATTTATAACAATTCACATTTCAATTTTCTAAAAACCACTCTCATAATGTATAATTTTTGAGAATATATTGGTATCCGATCCCCCTTACAACTTTCCCTTTCAGCCTTTATCTCATCTCGTCTTGCTGCTCAATCTCTTATCGACAATGGATCTACTCCTTCAGATACTGACCTCTCACAGGCCCTCACCTTTTGGGGCAACAACTGCTCTCCCACTCTTAGCCGTCCCGTTTCCAGTACCCAAAAAGACTGGGATGCTCCTCTGATCGCCCGTTCCGTTGAATATCTTATTTCGAACAGGCCCTTTGAGGAAAATCCCAATAATTTGGTACTAAATGCAAACTCTGGTTACGAATGGTTGGAAGCCATCCCCAGCGCCAATCTCGGCCTCCTCATGACTGGCGAACAGCTACGTATATCTATAGCCCTCCGCCTCGGCTGTAATGTCGTAGTTCCCTCAATCTGCATCAACTGTGGTCAGCCCATTGAATCGAAGGCTTACCATCCCTTGCACTGCAAGTTCTCCCGTGGACGACAACATCGTCATAAATCTATCAATAACATTTTACTAGCCGCCCTCAAAAAAGTTAATATCCCATCTACCCTTGAACCAGTGGGTCTTTCAAACGAATACGCCATACGCCCGGATGGTATTTCTCTCATACCCTGGTCTAATGGTCTTCCGCTAACATGGGATTACACTTGCGTTGATTTTGCAGCCAAGTCTAACCTCTCATTTTCTGCTATCGAAAAGGCAGAAATCCTTAAAAAAAATAAATACGCTGGCCTCGCCAAGACTTTGTTCATTCCTATCGTTACCAATACCCTAGGCATGTTTGGAAACGAGGCCCTCAATTTCATCAAAATCATAGGAAAAAAAATAAGACAGATCTCAGAGGACCCCAATGAAGGATTTTACCTTCGCCAGCAGATTTCCCTGGAAATTTGCCGGTCTAATTTTTTAAGCATTCATTCTTCTCTTGGATGATATATACCCACCTTTTTTTTAAATATATATATTTTTTTTTATAGTCCTTTTTAATGTCTTCATAGATTATATATATATTATATATTTATTTTTTTTATATTTAATTTTTAATATATCCATTTTAATATATATTTTTTAATCCTCTGTAAATTATATGAATTATTTTATAATATTTTTTTTTAAAATAATAAAAAAGTCGAATAGTTAAATAAACCCCTTTGATAAAAAATACTAAATTTAATTTAAAAAAGAGCTACTTACGCGTTATTGATTTTAAAACGCTACTTTTTTTAGACATTTGGTATAGTTTTGTTAAACGGCTCGATTTTGCCAATTTAAAATTAAGATTTTTGCCATAATAATATTACGAAAGCCTCGAGATATCGTTAATAGATGTCCAATTCTTTCTGCCATCTCAAATTCTCCAGGCTTGGGTAATATTTTTGGGTAAAATGTCGGGTGAGCCGTTTTGAAAAATCGAGCCATTTAACAACAACAAATCCGGAATATTAATTATAGTTTTTTTATGAGTTACTTTAGAAAGGTTACTAGTATATTTTCCCATATTCCAAAAAAAACTTAGGTATAGATTTTAGAAAGTAACTGTCGAGATAGTTCTAATTAAATTACTTGTAAAATATAAATTGATTATATTATAATTGTTTTTAGTATGCAGATTTTAATTGTTTAAAATTAGTATAAATCGTAATGTTTAAATGTAAAAATCGATCTATTGAAAATGTAATAATTAAGAATAGTTTTTTAATTTTTCTGTTTATATATTTTATTTTGTTAATATTCTGTTAATTTTCTAATTGTAATAGTTTATTTGTAAATTTAGAAAGTCTAGTAGTTTAAATTTAACCATGAATAAATAAATGTGGTGCTGAATTATAAACCAATTACTACCTTGAATTAAATATTGATTTTAATAGCGTTCTGGGTTTACTAATATTACATGAAATGTATTAGTTATAAGATATGCAATTTTATATATGATCTTATGATGAAAATAGATTATTATTAGATGAGTAGTGAGTGTAAAATAACTTGGCGTTAATCCTATAAAGAAAATTTATTAATTTGATGTATATCATTATAATTTATATTTTTGGCAGACCAACATAATTCAAAGTATTGTAAAATCCAAATATAAGTGAATCTAATTAAATTTTTATGATTACTATTTAAATTGATATTTAATAGATAAACCGGTCCATAGTTATTAAAATTGATATCATGTATATACTTAAAAATATATCTATTAATTTAAGTAAAATTTTTTCATTATATAAAATATATTTTTCAGTTTTTTTATAAATTTTTCTGTTTTCATTAATTATGGTTATTTTTAATTGATGTCAATTTATATTATAAAATAAATATTTATATTTTGTTGTAAATTAAGCCAGTATTTTTGTTAAAAAAAATTTATAAATTATTTTTAAATAGTTCTCCAACTTGCGGAAATTTATTTAGTATTTTATTTTCTTATATATTATTATTCTAAAAATTGTGTAATAGATAGAATTAATTTTCTACATTCACAAAATATAATTTTTTTATAATAAATCATTATTATATTATATCTATTTCAAAAATATTATATCGGCAATTTATAATTGTAAAATTGAAAGTTTAATCACCATTGTAATAGAAGATGATTAATGAAAGATATAAAGATTGAAACAAAAATTTTAATAACCTAAAATAGACTATATAATTATATTAAAATTAAATAATCTTTAACAAAAATTTTTATCATAATTTATGTTTTCCTTTATAAAAGATTACAGTAAATAAAATTATAAGAAATTTAAGTTAAAAGTAAAAATTAATTTACCAAAAATGAAAAAGTGGTGAGTACCAGAGACCTTCATGGGCTTTAATTTTTTGACCAAACCCGGCATAGGCTCGCAGTAAATTTTTCTAGGCTCAAGCCCGGTCCATATCTAATGTTAAAAACAATTCCCAAGCCCGGCCCACACCCATAAGTTTCAAAAAAATATCCCAAACCCGGCCTAAGCCCATATCCAAAAAATTTTTTTTTTTTATTTAATTAAAATAAACGAAAAACGCGAGTCAATCTTCCTAAAACAAAAAATACAATTAGAAATTTTTAAACATAATATACATGTTTTTAGGT